TTCTAACTGGGCTCTTTCCATCCTGTGTTATAAACAAACTTCTTAGCAGAGAGCTCGCCCTACCCAGATGTTCGTTTTATTGCATTTAGCGAGTTCATCTGTAAGCGGAAAATCTCTTCATTACCCAGCTTGCTTTATTTGGGAGAACTGGATATTGCATTCATTTAATTAGGAAAAACCCAGCGGCAATTAGCTCACTCATGGCTGCAGATGGGCTTGGAGCCTTCCAGTTATCCCATGGTGGCTTCCTGCAGCAGCCAGGGGTTGGTTGTACGAGGCTGCACGGCAATCTGCTGTGGAAATTTCACACCCCTGCAGCAAAATTGGATGGGAGAAGCCCTGAACTGAACTTTTTTAGAATTCAGTGCATGAGGGAAAATCTTTTCCTTTACTGTGTGGCTTCTGCTGCTACTGGAAATGTCCTGGTGGGAGAGGAGCAGCACAACCCTTGTGCCTCCCAAGGATGGTTTGTGTGAAGGGAGGTTGGAGAAGATGCTGTAGATGAGTTCTGGTGTTAATTTCTATTATGCCATTTGCCTGTAATATTTGGGCCTTGTTGTGGGGTGGTTTTCCTCATGTTCTCTTTGTCCAACCCCCCAATATGGTTCCATCTAAGCTTACGTGGTACAGTAGTTTATTTTAAAACTTGCCTTTATCTTTCCTTGAACCCCTCCCCAGGCTTAGTGGGTTTATGAGGACTTGCCAGAAGACCTTGATAAGCGCAGTTCTGTGGACCAGCTTTGGATTCCAGAAGGTTCCAGGCAGTTCAGGAACTAACATAGCCACAAGCAGTGGGTGGGTAGCACATGGGTAATGATCAGTGAGTCTTGTCCTTAGAAATGGCATCTGGAAATTGTAGGTCAGACCCTATACTTCTGAATTAGGGGAAATCTGTACCAGAGGGTACAGATTTCTTCCCTTCTACACAGGAAGAGCTGTGCTCTTTTTTCTGACCCCGCTGCAAGTAACCTTTTCCAAATTCAGATATTTTGACAAAGTGCTCCACTGAAGGCTCTTGCAGACCTCCATGAGATCCCTGGGGAAGCAGTTACACAGGGATCTGTGCAGCCTGCTCTTCAGTGTGGCCTTAAACCACATGGAGAAGGAAATAAGGTGACAAAATTTGTAAGGGAAGCGCTTGAGTGTTTGTTTGTGCATTTTTGTAGATGTGCACCTGTATATACATCTAAAACCAAACTGAAGAGTTGTGGGAGGGCAGCTTGATTCTGAATGACTGGCCTTTAAAATAGCAGATGGAATTAAGTGTAGATACATGTGACATTTTCTGCATGGGAAGAGATAAGAATTCTTGATTTACATTTGCAGTGATGCCTGAAATATCTACTAATGAAGAGATCTTGGTGTTACAATCAGATCTGAAAAATCGCATTAGCCCAGCGCTCACTTGTTGTAAAACTCAAATAAGATATTAGGAAAGATTAGGAAAGTAAGAGAACAAAGTATTGTGTGGGTGTATAAATTCATGGTGCTCTCCTTTCATCCTGGATAATTGTGTGTGTTCCTCCTGCTCAAAAATGTGAATTAGAGACTGTAGAAACAAGGAGGGTCAGGGTGAAGAAGCAGCTGAACTCTTGGCAGAGCTGTGGACCTTCCTGCCATGGGATGCTTTGGGCACTAAAAGTCAGTGTAGGTTCAAAATGTGATGGGACAAAGAAATGAAAGTGGAATTTGTCGACGACTGCTCCAGAAACTGAAATTGCAACTTCCAAAAGACGGAAGGGGGGGAGGGGAGAAAATGCCCCCTAAATTCCGTGTGCTGGACGCCACTCACACTTGGAGTTTAGCTAATTCAGTTTACCCTTCCATTATCATGACTACCTGGTCTAACCTGTAAGCTTTTAAGGAATGCCAGGTTTTGTCCTCTGCAGTTTTGCCTTTTTAAAATTTACTGGCAGTGATTCAGTATTAATGCTTCTTTTCACCTTTGTGGTGGTTATGTTTGCACTGTCACTGCTTTAAGAAGAGCAAATCCAGCAAACAGCACATGGATTGCAGGTGGTTCAGTGTAACCAAGGAAGGAGAAAATATTTTCCATGATGCACAACACTGTCATAGTTGCTAAAAATGAGATATGGTGCAAGTTTTTTCTACATATGATAATAGCTGTGCATGTTAATACAGCACTGCACGTAAATCCACTTGGATTTCAGTTCCTTACTGCATCCAGAATTATCATTTATTAAGTCACAGTAAAGCCTCTAGAATACATTATTTTTAAAGAATATCCCTTTAAAGTAACATCTGAATTAGTGGAAAGACCTATTTAAAACACCACTGTGTTATGAATGGCAAAATTGTCAAGACTAAAACCAACATGAAGGATTATTTTTCCTAGAACAGATATTTCAGTAAGTGAAAGGGAGTGGTCAGATTTCAAATGTATGATTTGATCCAAGTATTCTTAGAAGGTTTGACCCAATCAGTATTTCTTTTGTCTGAGATTTTTGAATGTTTATTTTAGACAATTTGCTGTTTACTGCCTCTTTCTGTGGTAAGTAGAGAAAGATACAACTGTTAGTTTTGAAATGGTTGTGGTGTTCCCACTGATCTGCTGCAAGTTAAGAGTTTAAACACGCTGCTGTAATTCGTACCTGCATTCAAATGGCATTATTTGCCCTCATATTCTTAAACAGAGGCTGGAAACAAAATAAAAATTATGAGGAAGGTTTCTGTGGCACTAACTGCATGGAACAGGACACACAGCATTGTTCTTCCCGTTCTAATTTCAGCATATTTCAATTTTTAATGTCGGAAAGGAGTTCTCCTTGCCTGGATTATATTGCAACAAACTTGCTTGTGTTTGCTATACCAGTTCTCTTGCTGTTTTAAAAAAAGTACTTCCCAGCTGCCCAGGCATCCTTTGGGGATTTCTGAACTCATGTTGCTGCAAACAGAATGTGACATTCCGAGAATGAGTCTTTTACTGTAACTTGTACCAGCAGTGGCCAGAGTTGTGTGTGTGTTTTCTGTTTGACTGGAGTATTGATAAGCAGTGTTAGATTGGTTTCAGTTTACAGATGCCTTTTAAAGTAATGAAACACCTTCCTTAGGCTCACAGACACGCACAAATCTGTGCACAATTCTGACTTTATTCTCTTACCTGGAGCAGTTTTTAAATGGTTGAAATTTTTACAGACTTTTAGTTTTTGATACTGGTGCACTTTCCTCTTAATTATTAACTGAACCTGAGCATTGCTCCCTGCAGAATCCTAAAGTAGTTTGAGCTGGAAGAAACATTAAAGACAATCTGGTTCCAACCCCCTGCCATGGGCAGGGACATTTTCCACTATCCCAAGTTGCTCCAAGCCCTGTCCAGCCTGGCCTTGGACACTTCCAGGGATGGGGCAGCCACAGCTTCTCTGGGCAACCTGTGCCAGGGCCTCACCACTTTCACAGGGAAGAATTTATTCCTAATATCTCATGTAAACCTCTCACCTTTCAATTTGAAATGGTTCCCCCTTGTTCAGTCACTCTCTGCCTGTGTGAAAGTTGCTCCCCCTCTTTTTTGTAAGCCCCCTTTATGTACTGAAAGGCCAAGGGTACAGACTGTGTGGAGATCAGAAAATCACTGTTGGACTTGCTGGACACCTCGCAGGTGCTTTTAGAGGTGGAAGTCTGGATGTCTAACTTATGCTGGGCCTGCAAAATCAGAAGATTTAGTTTCTGCTTTCAGAGAGCGCTTGAAAGGTCACTCAGAATCTGTATTGTGTGGCTTTCTTGTCAGAGCACAGGGGTGAACGTGCACACCTTCAGAGCATGGTGGAATCCATCCCTCAGGTTTTCCAGGGAGATCAGTTCCATTCTACACCCAACTCTTCTTCCGCTGAAATTTTCTTTATGTATTAGTAATTGTGTTATTTGTGTTGATGTATTTGTACATTCAGGTAGACGTGGCAGTCCCTAATAATCTGAGAGGAGAGGAAAGATGGGGAGTTGTAAACTGATGTGTGTGATGGAACTCACTGAGAATTCCACTCACCCTCTAGCTTTGGGATGAGGGAGTGTTTGGTTTTGTACAAATACTTTTAGATAGGTAGTACCTGGAAGTGTAACAATGGATCCTTAAAATATTTGGTGATCAAATCAAATATTACTTAAAATAATTTAAAACTTTTTTTCATCTCTCCTCTATTACTCCATTTTATTTTAGTGTGTATTCAAGATTTAATTCTCAGGAGTTTGAATCTTAGTGGAATCCATAAATTCCCTAGAAATCCCTAGAAATGTCCTACGTGCGTTTCTTTCCTCCAAACTGCTTTTTATCTGCAGTTTTCAGTCTTTAAAAATGCTGCACTTGCTTTCAGTGAGCTGTACGTAATTTTTTTACCACGTTACTATTTTTTTTTTTTTCAGTCCTGGTGGACCAATAAGCAAGCTGAAAAGCAAGGCCAGGGCTCCTGTTTATTTAGTAACACCCTCTGCAGCCTTGTTCCTGCAGCTGTTGGTGCAGCTCCCAGTGCTGCCTCTGGGTTGTGTCTTTCTGTCCTCCAGCAACGCTGTCAAACAGTAAGAGAGGAAACTCAGGAACATCTCAGAGTTTCTCCTGACCCTTGCAGGAGTTTTAAATGTTCCACACGTGGTGCTGTATTTGGCAGGAAACTATGCCCGGGCATCAGCAGGCGTTCGGTGGGTCTCTTTTGGTTTAGATCTTCTGCTTCCTCAGTCCAGAGACACATTTTAGCAGCAAGTTTTTGTCTGTATTTACAGTATCTGCTTTGGATATTACTTGGAAAGCTCTCTTGGAATACTGTCTCGGTATGATTGTAGTGGGCTGACATCACCATATGAGTCTAACAAGGGAAAAAAATGTGTTGAGATGGAAGTGGGTCTCAGGATGATGGAGAACCTCTGTAAGGTTATCTTGCTAAAGACTTCTGAGTACAACAACTACACATCTTAAATGCAGTTGTTGTGGTCTGGAAAACCAGGTGTGTGTACATGAATTTATTTTTCTGCTGTGTGTTTTTTTTTCTTCCCAGTGTCCCAATGTAATATCAGCTTGAAGAAGCAGAGGAGTCGAAGTATCTTTAGCACCTTATTCTGCTGCTTTCGTGACTACAATGTCGAACCACCATCTACCAATAGCACCAGTGCTCTGCCTCCTTTGGTGGAGGAGAATGGAGGACTTCAGAAGGTCAGGATTTTATCTTATTTTGCTGTCATACTGGTCTTTTTTAACCAAGGTTTAACTCTGCTCCCAAAGGTTTGTCTTAACTGTTCCCCCTCCGAGAGAAACCTGTCATGCTTTACAGAAAAAAAATCACTGTCCTGATGGTGAATTGCTAATACTTTCTATTCAGTTGCAGTTTAAAGCTAGTATTTCCATGGAGAGTGTTGGCTGTATCTATTTTATAAGCAAACAACATTTAAAACCTGACTTGAGACACTCAAATAAGGTAGACTTCTCATAAAATTCCAGCTGCTGAGTTGTCTCTGGCTTTGGTTCCCTTTCCTGATTTACAGAAAGGGTAAAATGTGTCCACTGGAGCGTAGTGGAACCTTTTAAATATCACTTCAAAGGGGTTTTTAGTGACAGAAAAGCAAGTCATCACAGGGGAGAAGCATTAAATACAGCTGAATCCAGCCAGAAATATCAGCTTTTGGCCATTTTTTTCCATATTATTAAGCTTTGTTCTACCTAATAAGTCAAATCAATTGATAGAAATTTTAGCACTTTGAATCATTTTGTGTAACAGCAAAATGTTACTTTCATTGAATTCTAGTAATTATATTGCTTTGCCATATTCATAAAATCACAACACTAACGATTTTATGTGTTCTTTTTAATTCTGGTAACGCTGAGAGCGTTTGTGTCACGAGCTGAAGAATTTCAGTTCAGTATGGCAAACACAGGAGTGCCATCTTTTCCATGCAGTTTTCCAGGACTTTGAAATTGGAGATACAGGTGTATTCATGGTGGGGAATAATAGCAGAAATGGAGATCACAGAATCACCCTCCTGCTTTTCTCGTAATTTTTCATGTCTGATACAGCTGATTCCTTACCTACCTTGTTCAGTCCATTTTATCCCAATTTGGATTTTGCTGGTTATGTTTGAATTCTGAAAAGCTCAGGAGAAAGAGCAGAGGAACTGCTTGGTGAAAGCAGATTAAAGTGATGGAGACTGAGAGTACGTGTGGAGGTGAAGTCTGAACTGGAGCAGTTCATGCTGAAACTGCTCACGCAGAGGTGAAGTGCCCTGAGAATTCTGCCAAGAGGAGGAATTGTACATGTATTTTTAGACTTCTTCTGCTAGCCAAGGTACATTCTGACTGAAATGAGGGAAATCCAGCCTGGATGTGCTGAAGGGAAAGCTGAGTAGTGTGTAGCATGTGCGCACACATTCATCTGAGAAACAAAAAGGAATGGGAAGCTATTAAAATTCCCCTTTCCACTGTGCTGGGGAATGGAAAGTAGGCTGAAGTGAGGCTACTGGCAAAACTACAACTGAGAGAGAATGGGAGTTCATTAGAAAGAAAACCATAAAACAAAGTTTTGCTTTTTCGCTACAGAAAACATGAGTAAAAACAGTCTGGAGCCGGTAGTTTCCAGATTGTATTTTGTGAAACACTTAATTACTTTCTAAGTAAATCTTATGCCTTGAGTGAGTGATTGGCTCATGTGCTCACACAAGTTTCCATCCCCACTCTACTGCCTCGGTGAGCAGTTTTGGAGTTGTGGAACACTTGTACACGAGACCAAGGCACAAATCACAGCGTTCGTAGAATTAGCAGATTAAAACTCGAGTAAAAAAATTCAAGGGGTATTTGGAAGAGAAGCATTCATAGAATTACCAGGTTAAAACTTAAGAGAGTAAAAAAAAAATTCAAGGAACATGTTGAAGAGAGTTTAATTAAAGAGTGTATTTTCTTTAATTGAATGAAAGGCACTCAGGTACTCAAACCTTTATAGAAGAAATCAAGTACAGCTGAACTTTTAGGTGGTTCTTCAGTGCAAATAAGTCTGTGATGTGGCTATTTTAAATGCAGTATTAAGGACTAATAAGCTTTGTATGTGTTTTTAATGTGCTTTTTTTTATTGAGTGCTAACATAGTGTAAATAAGAAATTCTTTAAGGAAAGAAAAAGAATGTTGAAGACTTGGATATGTTGGAATATTGTTACCCTGTCAGGATGGTACTTTTTGCCAGGAGAGCTGTTTTAGAACTGTGCAGGCTGCTTGAATTTGATGGAGTTTGATGCTTTCACACTGAGCATCTTGTCTAGACTCAGAAATGATAATTAATGGGGGAAAGTACATGCAACAGTGGGCTTTGGATTCTAGATTGGTGACATTAAATGTCCAGGAATGACCAAATTACCTGTTTCAGGAAACAAAATAAAGGTTGACAACACACTGCTTAAACCCCTCTGCTGTTAAATTAAAGCTCTTTTTTACATTTTTCTCATTGCCAGGTTAGAATTCTGTTGAACTGCTGCTCAAATGATCACTTACTTATACCTGCTATCTCATTTATGTGTTTTATTAATTAATTATCACATTACAGTTCACTTCTGGCCATGGCCCAGTCAGCTCAGGTGTTGTGACCCTTTCCTTCAAAAATGAACAATAAACATTTACCACTAGAAACTCATATAAAATGGCTTGGATGTACTTTCCTTCTGTCTTCACTGTTCAGTGGAGTTGTTACATGAAAACTGGTGATAAAAACTTCAGAGGAGGGGAAGGAGTGGGGAAGACAACTGCGGGTTTCACAGGAATTCAGTGTTTGTTCTGTGTTGCTTCTGGCATATTCTTGAAGCTGAAGTTGACGTGACAAGCTGACTCCCTTCTAATCAGGAATCTTAATTCTTTAAATGCTGACCTGTTCAAAAGGAGGGAAAGCAGGGGAGAGTATTCTATCAAATAATTGAAAACACGGTTGTGAAATTTTGTTCAGAGTAATTGCATTGTGTGATTTAATTTTTATTATTACTGTTATTTGGCTTTATTAGAAAAAATGAAATCAGTGCTTCAAAGTAATCAGTGCTTCATGATGTGGCTTGATGATGCTTGACATGTCAAGTGTCATGTCACTTCTTCATAGGATTGGAAGAAACACCAAATCGGGCATGGTTTTGAATAAACAATCTTTTTCAGCACTGACTTCTGTTCTGTTAGGGGGAAAAAAAAGCCCAAAAACTTCTTTAAAGTATTGAGTTCACTTTTAAACCTTCTCCTCACAGAGCAGCTGCTTGTCCAAGTGTGACTCTAATACTGGTAATGAATGGTCCATTCTGTCTCTAAAGTTTCAATACAACATTTTGTTTCGACAGTAACTTGTATTTACTGAAACTGTGGTATATTTGTTTTTCTTAAAAATGCAGCAGCCATTTAGCACAGCATGGAGATGTATTGTGAAGCTGCAATGTCTGTGACAGTGGGTACACCAGCCTGCCTGCAGCTTGGATGCTGAGCCAGATGTGTCACTGGGAGCACACAATGTTCAGCCTCATGAAACCCGTGGTAATTTTTTCCTGCCTCCTCAGCAGCAGGCAGCTCCCCAGCACCTTCCAGCCACATTTTATTTTTTTTTGTTTAGGGGACAGAGTTTTTGTTTTCTTCTGAATAAACTCAATTCTCAACTCCCATTCTTCTCTTGGCAACTTGACTCGATTTGTGCAGTTTTCTGGGCGTGCTTCTGGATGTAAGTTTTTTTTTTTTCTGGGTAAGTCTGTTATCTGAGCTTTGAGGTGTTTGCAGATAACAGATTTCATTCACTCAGGCTTCAAGGAGTGGGATCCAGAGAGAGAGAGAGGTGAAAACAGCTAGATGCAAAATAGCTTTTTGTTCCCTCTGCTCTCAGCCCTGGTGGGTGAGGCAGCTCTGACAAGTCTATTGGCACTTTGCCATTTCGCTCACAACCCACTTCCACCGGAGTCATCCTTGCTTTTGTTTCACACTGAGATCCAAATCAGGCAGATGGCTCGTGTTAACGAGATGAAGCATGAATGAGGGAAGTTTTTTTTTATAGTTGTTGGATTAGAGGAGAAGGTCTTGATCCACACTCAACAGGGAAGAAGACAGAATTAGAAGGAGGTTTATTCTGGGGTCTGCAGCTGCCCCTGCTGCTTGCTCTGTAACTGAATTCCCACCTCACCCATCCTAATGACTACAAAAGTCAGGGCTCCTTCTCCCCACTGCTTTTTGCTGCACCATCATCTCCGAGGTGATGTTGGAAAGCTGTTTTGATGACCTTTGGTCATGTCTCCCAACACTGTTCTCTGCTTCAGGAATCTGTTTTTAACACAGAGCAGGAAAAAGGATCTTCTCTATCCCACATGAATATGGTCCATCAAAGTGAGAAAAACAGCTTGTGGGGAGCGCATTCTTGAGGTATTCTCACATTCTCCTTCATGCAGGAGACCTTGAGGAGCAGCACAAGCGTGGTCTCTTTGAGGAGGAGACCATTAATGACACGCTTTCTGAATGGATGTGGCATCCACTTTCACTTTCCAGTGTGAAAGAAGATAATTCAGATTAATGCAAATCCTAGTGCTTTTTCTCCTGCTTAACTAACTTTGCTGATCTGAGCAGGAAAATTCCTAATGTTTGGTTCTGTTGGCCAACATCAACGTGTGGAATGGAAGGTCTGTTTAGAAAACAAAACCCCCTCTGCATATCTGTGCTTGGTTCCTCTCTAGTTGCTTACTCATTCTGACCTCCTTTACCTCCCAAAAAGTCCTCCATATTAAGAGGCAAAGCTTGATATTGAAAGTCAGTGAAAGAGTCCAATAATAACTATATTACTGTTTTTAAAGAACCTGTCATGGTCTAGAATATGCTTTGTGTTAAAGAAATGGATATGATGAAGCTGATCAAAATAACAGATTTTTCTCTAAAATGAAACAGCTCCTTATCTTTGAATACAGACTGTTCTTAAAAAAAAAAAAAATCAAAATAATGTGGCCTGTCACTTGGTGCTCATTGATCCCACACAAGACCATAGACAGCATCATTGAACAACATGGTACTTGGAAATGTTGTGTCTCTAAACCAAAATTACGCAGCTAAGGGAAGAGATAGGATTTATCATTTCATCTGGATATAGTGTGCCATGGAAAAAAAAAAACAAACCCTGATTTCAATGGCTGGACAAATCAGTTCCTGGGTTATTTTAGCGATACAATAGGGAAATTTTGGCATTCTAGGAACAGCTTTGTCCTGTTCCCAACGTCAGGAGCTCGTGGAAAGCCTTCAATAAATGCGGTCATCCGTCATGTATTTCAAACGATACCAGTATGACCTATTTCCCTTCCTGTTCCAAGGCATTAGGAATTGAGGCAAGATACTTTTCAGAAGTTTCCCATAGCAGGCTTGTTTTTAAAAAGCATTTCCCTGTTCGTGAGTCCTCATAGTTTCCCTGCAGACTCGAGCAATTATCCTTCTGCTTGGTTTTTTTGCTGTTCTCATCTTTACCTTTTTGATGTTTGCAGAGGAACTTTTAGGGTTCCTCTTAGGAAATTTACTCCTTTTTTTTTTCATTATTATTAATACCATTATTTGAGAAATTCTTTGAGAAAAATAAAGCAAACAGTAATGCAAGTCCTGTAGCAACTTCAGTTCTGGGTTCCCATGAAAGCCAGTTCCACTAACAGAACATCAACGTACTTAATTAAAATCTTTTTCTTTTCTTATTGCTATTACCCTGAGGGAAACTTGGATTCTTGCCAGTTTGTGTGTGTGTGTGTTTTTCTAGAAATCATTGGTAGCTTTTAGTAGTGCAAAGGTTTTGATAGTTCATGGTAGTTGCTTCTCTGTAGTTGCTTCTTCAGCTTCTCAGGATTTTGGTCAAACTTCAGTAAAAATTTCTCACGTTTTAGCACTAAAAAGGAGGATTTTAATATTGAATTACTCCTGTTTGTCAGTGATGTGTCAACACTGTGGTAGACATCAAAACAAGTAAGCACAAGACTTCCTCAGCTGGAAGAGGCTGTGCTAATGTAGAAAACAGCTCTTTCAGTAATTGCTCTGCTGGAAGTCAGAGCCTGTGTTGTCCAAGTCTTCAAGAATTAAATCATCTACCTAAGTAATATCTATGCTAGAAGGATCAGCTTCCTTTTATTTTTTTTTGGTGTGTGCTGTGCCTACCAAAAAGCAAATGCTTGTCCCCATTTTCCACAGTCCCTTACATATTTGAGTCAGTGACCTTTGACCAGCCTTTCTCCAATTTGGAGCTGTCTCTTTGTGTCTGTAGATCAGGACCCAGGGAAAGAAGAAAAAGTCAAGCTGGCCAAGACTTTCTTGCCTTCTCCCAAGTACATAACAAAAAGTGAGACCGTGGGAAGAGCTCTGATACTGTTGCCTCTTTCTGGGTGAAGAAAGTGAGATTTCTTGAGTTAGTTTATTGCCATTTATTAATATATATATATTATATAAATATATATTTTATATATTTTTTGTATATTTATACATTTTTTTATGTTGCCTAAGTGAAAATGCTGGTTTTTTCTGAGTCAGTTGTCTCAAGTGAAGTTCAGTTCAAGGAGTGGGTTTCTGCCCTGCTGCCAAGGTCTGGCTCAGCCTCTTGCTGCTGGCAGTGAAAACTGACAAATATACCCGTTAGTAGATCTTAAAGCTGAAAAAGTTACAGTAAATACAGGTACTTTCTTATTGCCATCTCTTATTAATCATAGCATGGGTTTTACCAGTCCAGTCTCCTAAAAAAATCATAAATGCCAGTGTACTAACAGATCATTCCAGCAACTAAAATGCAAGACCCTGTTTTCACTTTTTTTTTTACCCTGGTTTCTTGAATACTTTGAACTTTTGGTTTAAAATGTTTGAGTGCTACATTTACTGCTCCAGACCTTTGTTCTACCCTTTAAAAGCCATTACCCTTACAGTGATTTTTTTTTTTTTCTTTTTCCCCAGGGTGACCAGATGCAGGTCATGCCTATACCAAGTGTATGTATTTTTATCCCTTTTTCTTTTAATAATTTTCATAACTTTTGCTTTGTTTCATCTTATGTTGCAGTCCTAACAGGTCTGTTTTGTGTTGCATGTTAACAAAAGGATTTTATGTTCTGTCTGTGATGTTGTATACTCAGAGATGAATTGAACTGCACGTGTTCCACGGGGACTAAAAGAAGAGTTTGGGTTTTATGTGGATTTCATCTGAATTTTTACCATTTTGGAAATGCTTGAAGTACTCTGAAAGCTGAAGTTACTTGTTTTAATAGAGGCAAAAGGTGACTCGTCACCACTACGTGAGACTCAGTTACAAAAACCTTTTCCTCTCGTTTTTCCCTATATTCCAATTGAAAGGAAGAGTTAGAAACTGTGAAAGTTACTTGAAACAAGTCACTTTAGGAAAACAGAGCACACTGACTAGAGCTGCATTACTGCCCTTGTTTGAGATGATGCTCTTGGTATCAGCTGCTGTTTTATGGGCCTTGATATTTCTGTTTATCTTCCCTGGATTAAACTTGGAATGCTGTTTGGCATCTCAATTATTTCTCAAGGCTAAATAAAAGGAAGGGAAAAAAAGAAGTTCTTCAAGCTGAAGCTTTTAATTTAATTAGTTTTAACCTTTTTTGGTCAGAAAGCTGCCCTTTTTTTACTTTTTTTTTTTTAATGAGGATGAAGGCTTAGGCTTTATAAATCTGAAAATACCTCTTTTTTTTTTTTTTTTTTAGCTACTTTGCTGTTTATAATACTTTATTATGCAGAGTTTTCCAGAAAATAGCAGTGCTGATGTGTGGAGTTACTGACACAACCCTCTTGTCTGAGATATTTGGGAGCCTTTAAAGACCTGGATACTCCCTAAGATACCAATTTTTGTCGTCTTTCCCTTCCTCCTCACGTAGCCCAACATTACAAAGCCTCCTGTAAGAACCCTGCAGAGCAGCAGTGTCAGGACATCACTATGACTGTGCACATCTTCCCTCTCTCACCAGTTTTTTCTTGGATTTAGGAACTGTTGGGAATTACTTTTTTGTTGCTTACCTGATATTTCTGATATGGCTCACGCATGTATTTGTGTGTCTGAATGCACACACGTGTACGTGCAAGGAATTTATCTATGTGCAAGTCTAGAAATAGAAAAGTCTGGATGGATGAAAACACTGATTCCTAAATTACTTTTCTTTTTACATACCTGCCAAATTCAGTTAGGTGACTGTAGTTCCTCTACTGGTAGTTATTTGAACATGAAACGTGTTCTGGCTGTGCTCTGACCTGGAATAAAATCTTTGCTAAGAGTGAGTGCAGGTATTAACAGAATAAGAATTCAAAGAGAACAAAATTCTGAAATGATAAATGAGTACAGCTCTGACAGGTACAGCAGTGAAATGAGATGCTTTGTTAGAACACTGTCTTTGCAGTGTTAAAGCAGTGCTCTGTTAGGTTTGGGTACTGGTAGGGAAATGAATGATTCAAGAAGGGGATTTCATTTTTTTTTCCCCCCTCTTTTTTTTTTTTTTTTTTTAAGCTCAACTATAATTTTGCTGACCTATATTCCCAGCACTTTAACAAGGCAGTAAAATTAACTTATCTCTGCAGTCGTGACGTAGAGTTCTCAGCGAGCAGGTGACTTTAGAACACGCTCATTCCCCTTCTCTGGTGCCATCTGATGCTCCTTCCAGCAGGACAGGGGAGGGTTGTCAAGCAACCATCGCCCGCGGGCAGTTGTGTGACATTTACTCTCCGGTATCACAGTGCTCCTGGCTGTCAGACAGAGCCCAGCCAGCCATTAGTATGTCATCATCTAAATAAAGGCACGAGTGAGCCGCACGTGGAGAAAGTGGCAGGAAGGAAAATGCAACATTATGTTAGAAAAAAAACACCACCTAAAATTAGTGATGTTCTCTGCCAGTCTTCCAAGGGCTGTTTGTCCAGAGGGACCCTCTGAGACAACCCTGAGCTGTGAGCTTTGAGACCCATTAAGGCAGAAATTCCTGATGCTCTGCTGCATAGGGATGAGAACTGGGCTGTTTGAACTGTATGTCTTGTACAAACCAGGAGGAAAATCTTATAAACACACAGTGAGCTTGGTCACAATTTAAGTGGACATTTATTTTTTTTATAGGGCTCGTTGCGAATGTCATCACTTCAGGTTTTTAGAGAACCCCTTAGTGACTCTGTGAAAGGGCTCTGCCCGCTCCCTCACTCATTAAACTTTCAAGCTGAAGCCTCCAGTCAAAATAGGAGGATTTTTGGAGCTTTATAGTGCCTGTGTAAAACCTGGCTGTCTGCTGAGATCACCTGTTTGAAAGCTTCCATTGCTTTATGTGCGTTTTGCGTTGCTTTTCTATGCATTTATATGTGCAATGCAGTGCAATAGATCTTCTGCTAAGCAGATTTGTCCTGTATTAATTGCAATTAATTTGAAGTTAATTGAGTTAACGTGGATTTTTGCTTGGTTGTTGATAGAGGTAACTGCTGAGGAAGAAACATTCCAGCTGCAGATTAGGTTCTTCAGAAAACAGAACCAGGATTACTTTGGGGAGGTTTAAAATAGGAACTTCATCCTGTTTGTATCTCATATAATCATACAATGGTTTGGGTTGGAAGGGACTTTAAAGGTGATCTATTTCCAACCCCCAAATCAAAGTAGATCCATAGCAACTTCAGTGGTTTTAATTCTTTTGAATAAAGAGGTAGATGGAAATACAGAGCCACATTCATGCAACATCCTAAATAGTTGTTCAGTATAAAATCCCACTGGTAAGGAGTGGTACCAGAATTATCCCTCAGAATCCCCACAGAAGTTAAATCTTAGCACTGGGATTTTCATTTGCCCTCACATGCATTTGGACAATTCCCCATTATAACTTACAGAAGAAATTTTGGGAACTGCCTGTTCCATAACAGGAGCTGGCATCTCCTGGCAGCCGTGTTCTAAGTCGAAATCATTTATCTTCTGTAAGAGTATTTGCCTGTGTAACTGCAGGGAGAAGCTGTTAGCTCTGTGGAGTGCAACCCCAAGTGTGAGCTGGAGGGAACACGAACAGTGAATTAGTGTGCTGCGCTTGGGCTCGGCAGCATTGCCAGCGCAGGAAACAAAAAAGGGCTTATTAATTCTGATACTTGTCTCTGTGGGAAATATGGGCCTACAGGGAAGAAAGCTGATGATTGTTTTATACAGTAAATTTCTGAAAGATTTGTGTTGACCAGCTGTTTATGCTTCAACCAAAAGTCCTGTTCTCTTGCCACCACCACCCCCTTTTTTTTTTTTTTTTTCTTAGGGAATATACTATTTCCACGGGACTGAAGCAGTGCAGCAGTCGTTTCACTACAAGGTCTGTTGAGCTGATCAGCCATGAGACCTGGCTGGAATGCATAAATCCCAAACAGTGACCAGTTTAACTTGTATACAATTTGTGTCTTGTTGGAATTGAAGACCAAGCTAGGACTTAATAGTACTGAGAGACCACGTGTTAATTTTTCTTCTGAGTTCTGTGGAAGTCTGCAGCCTTTCAGAGAGTATTGCATAGTAAATATGAGTTACCATTAACCACTATTAAATATTTTTAATCATCTTAGATGTCTTTAAAGCTACTATGTGAAAAGAAAAAAAAAAAAAAAAGGAAATTATAAAAGGTCCATAACAATTCACTATTAACTATGGTGGAAATCTTGTAATTAGAACTCTTCTTGGATATGTCTCTGTTAATGAAGAAATTAAAATACAGTGATGAGTAATGCTTGTTTCTGCCTCAAAGCTTTGCTACTCTTGGCACATGGAAATTGCTTTAGATCAGGAAGCTTGAACAGCAGAACAAATGGACTGATACTTTACATACAAATCCTTTAAGTTCCTAAAGCCTCAAAAATGTCATCCTCGCTCCAGGGTCCTACACCAGCTATTTAGCAGCCTCACAACTTGCAGTGGCTTCAGCTCCAGAATAGTTTCCTTATCCCTGTTAGATTATCAGGGGTGCAGATGTGTTTTCACAAACGAGGGCAACGGAGACACACAGGTTGTGAAATGGAAAACTCATTTCTTCTGAACTTCAAATGAAGTGTGAACTTAGGGAAGCAGGATCAGATTGAACCCAAGGTGCCAGAGCTTGTAGGAGGGTTTGGTGTTTCCCCAGGAGAAACCTTGAGGGTTAGTCCTGTTAGGTAAAGCTAGGTCAATAACTATACATTATTTCTTAATGCAGTAATAAAAAGGGAGAGAAACTCTTATTTATCACTGCTTTTGAGAAAGCAGAAGGGTGCAGGTGGTTGAAGAAGATGGGGGCATGGGTTGTCTCAAATGCAGTCAAGGGATTCAGGTTCTCAAGAGCTGAAGGTTCTCACATTTTGTAGTCAGCCCCTGGTAGATGTCCATCCTTTTGCTGATGACAAGCATAACAGTTTCCAGATTAAAAACTAAAGATATCTGTGATAAGACAGTGCTCCTGTTTTTCATAGCTTAATTTTATGTGGATTATATCTATTCCCATATATTATTCATAGCTACAGATATTTTCAGTTTGATAAAGAATTCGCATAGCAGAAGGAATTTCTGGCTTTGAACTGCTGGTGCAGATTAACTTAGTCAAAAATTCAAACTAGATACAATTCTAAGAGTACAAAAATGAATGCAACTATTATTCCAAAAAAGAAAAAAAGTATGCTTAAGGTTTCTTGGGATGTTCCTGCCCTTTTCTCATCTTCAAAGACAAGAAATCAGTATCAGAACATGGGTTCTGAAGATCATTATCTTTAAATGGGTTGGATTTTTCTTTCGTTAAGCTTTTGGTCTGTTTAGGTTGCAAATTTGGATCCTCCTTACTGTGAAAAATTGAGGTGGGGTGCTAAATACCTTTTAGGCTTTGAAATCAGGGAGTGAGAAATTAAAATTCTTTCGGTGTGGCCCTAGTTGCCAACAAGCAGAGGTGGAGCTGAAGCAGCTGTGGGACTGTCTCTGTAACCTGCAAAGGGTGTCCTATAAATTTGAGTCCAGCTGGGTGACTGTGATGGATTGGATCCATTACAGGCATTAGGCAGAAGTTGTTTTTTTTCTAGAAGGTGGTGGTTAGATTTTTGCTGAGAGAAAATGCATTGAGACAAGTGGCTTTGGTAGCTGAAGGAACTGTTTGTCGTTGTTAATTGTAAGGAAGTAAATCAGTTGCGGTGAGCGCGCCTAAAAATGCCCTGAGAACTTCTGTTTTAGCTAAAAACACTTATTTAAGTCCAGAATCTCATTTGTTAGGTGCTTCATTTAAACAAGAACTTATTAGGCATCGTTGGCCAGTTATCTATCAACTTGAGACAAGCTCTGAATTCAGTCAGTGGTTGATAATCTGTCCTGGCAGCCGGAGGGTGTTTGGAGGTCTCTGACTCACCTGTGTGTGTCACCTGTACAGGGGTGGCCTCAGATCTCTGCCAGCACCTCCCCAAAGGGCTGTTGAAAGGAACAAAACCCATGATAGATGCATCCTTACATTGCATGAGCAGATAAAAAGATGGCAGAAGAATGAAGTTAGAGTTCTGCACCCAGTTCTAAATTAATTTACTCTCTCAGCCTCGAGCTTCTCCCTGTTGACAATTTTCCATAAAGCTGATCCTTTTCCTTCATCGAAAAGACCCCCTCTTTGAGTGGCAGCAGTGTTTCAGCTCCAGATGGAAGGGTTCTCTCCCATTTCTGTTGTTTCAGGGAGTATCCAGTACTAAAACCTAAAGTAACTGTGATTTTATTGCAGACTGGGGCGTTAAAGTGGGAAATGAGCAGTCCAAAGAATATGAGATTGTCTGCATTGCTTTCAGAAAAATTGTCAATTCAAGGAATTGGCACCATTTTTCAGTAAGGGCAGCATGCTGTACAAGAGCCTAGTTTAGGTTCTTTGCTCCAGTTTTAATGCCTTGGCTGGGAGCATAATCCACATGAAATTTGGTCAGTGCCCTCACATGTGGTGAAAATGAAAGTGAAGACATGTCCTGGAAGATAAAATTAATAATGCTGTCTTCCTTCAGGATGGATTCTTCCACTTTAGCACCTTTTGTGGCAGACAGAAATAACAATTTGTGTAAATGCCCATCAGCCTGATATGGCTGGAAATGGCATTGCTGGAAATAGGATAACAACAGCAACCAAAACCAGGCATTAGGCAAAGGGGTCACTGCAAAAAGATGTTGTTGTATCAAATGTCTTACTTTTCCCTGGGTTTTCTTAGCTAGTGATGATGTTTTACCACTTTCATTTCCAGTGCTTTGGAGACTTCCAAACAAGTCTCTCATTTAAAAATAATATAAAAAAATTTCTGTATGGGTATTGCAATTGCATGAGCCATTGATTTCCATGTGTGTACTTGAGATGATCCCAGAAAAGCATTGAATTTCGAGTCATGTATTCCAGCTCCCAGTAATTGCTAGAATAGTAATGTTGACAGAAGAGTGCCCCTTGGATAGAGGTTTTACTTTTTTGTTGTTGTTGTCTTCCTCTTTTCTTTGTGTTTTTAGCCACCAGCTAAATACCTCCTGCCAGAACTGACAGCATCAGACTATGGGAAGAAGTGTGTGGTCATTGATTTAGATGAAACTTTAGTGCACAGTTCATTTAAGGTAAGTAAATTCAAAAGTGATCTCTTGCAGCTTTAATCTGTCAGTGAATGCTGCAGGAACTGTTAAGCCTCTTAACACTTGAACTCGTCTTACAGGCTCTCCCAGGATGCCTGGGAGTTCTCATTGCTACTCCTATGATTATTCATCCTAATTTAGCTGTAAGGGGAGGAACACACATATTGTTTTTTTATTTTTTGCCTCTGAGACAGTCACATTGGCTGCAACAAGGCCTGGAATAGGTATTGACTTCATGGCTTCAAGTACTTCAACAAGAACCTGTATTTCAACAGATACACAATTTGTTGCTTTGAAAATACAGTTTTAGTATTTAGTTTTCAGAGCAGGAAAACAAATACCATTTAGTTGTTGCTATTGAGTCAGTCACTTTTGAGAAGCAACTTCTATAACCCTTCAGCATGTGGTGGAAGTGGAGGTATTTAGGGCTGAAATTAGGAGACTTCAGAAATAAAAATAATCTGTACTGGCAGCATTTCTGATTGGCAGATCTAATACACAATAAAGCATCTGCTGGTTTTATACATTGATTGGAGAATTCATAACAATTAATAGTTACCTTACTACTGACAAACTACAGTTTTATAAAAAACCTTTATTATATTCTTCTAGTTGTTGCACTCCATTTTTCACTGCTAACTTGAACACCACTTCTTAATCCTTCACTAGTTAGTTGCCAGCATTTAAAATGCAAACTGTAATTCATGCTGTGGTTAGAGTTTGGCAACAGCCTGTCTTTGTTGGCTTAAAGAAAACCTTATATGGAGATATTAGAACAAATACTCCTCTGCCTTGAACTAAAATTAAGATTTTTCCCTGTCTTTATGGTGCCTGGTGGTATATAACAGTTTATGGTGGTGCACAGGAACCCCTCAGCCTCAGTGCCAGATTTGTCTTCTGTACCCAGACTGAGTTTGCACTGGGGAGTTTTTCAGGGAGATGAGAAACAGAGCTGGACTGGGGAGGGAGGAACCACCATGCTTTCCTATTTTACCAAAAATCAAAAGTTAGGGAGGGAAAGCTGAATTTAAAAAATCTAAATTTATATAATAATAATAATAATGAAGTATTAGGCTTAGCGTTGTCTGAAAGGTAGAAATACAGGTTTGGTTTCTGAATGCCGTGGGTAACATTCAAAGGATGTTTGATGGGCATTTGAATGATATTAAATACATATTTTAAAAAAATGAAAATGTTATTCTACTTAATGATGAGCACTGAATAATTTTTCGTGTTAGGAGAAGAAAACTGTTCCTTTTTTGAGTGAGGTCAGTAGTGTTAGGCAGGTGTTGGAGTTTCTGTAGTGTTAATCTTCTGCCTACAGTGGTGTTGTCTTAATATAAAACCCTGTGATGGGGGTGTGTAAGAGAAAACCAAGTGTTGGAGTGGCTGGCACTGTCCAGTGGTGCTGCTTGGGTTTTGTTTCAGAAAGAGAAATGCTTTAGCTGAATCAAGACCATTAATTATCATCAAAAATAATATGTTCCAGCAGAGCTGGGGTTTGAACACCTCTGTGCACCCTGCTCTGCCTGATTAATCAGGTTACTTCTGCAATTTCTTTTAGTTCGTGGGGTTTTGGGGGCTATTTTTGATGGGGTTTTCTTCCATTAAAACATGTCTGCTCGAACCAAGCAGGTCCCCAACTTAAAAGCTGGAAAAGCATACATAAATTTGTGAATTTTAGTACAAAAAAGGGGTTTATTTAAAACACCTGATACTTTGGAATTCGTAATTCTGTTATGAAATAGGCTTCATATTTCAAATGCAGATTACATGTTTTTTTTTAACACAACCAGAGAGGCAGAATATTTAAAGTGCTTTTTATGAAAGCAGCAACATCTGAAGGAGGGTAATTCTCATCTGTTTTATGCCCCTGCATCTTTGTGAAGCTTTAAGGAGGTACTAGGCTTTCATGTTAGGTGCATATTAAAAGGAATAAAGTTTGGGGTTCCTTGGCAAGAGTAAAAAAGGAATACATAGACAGGATAGTTATCGTTCCCATCATAAAAACAATAATAGAAACGAAAATAATAAATTTTTAAATCAAGGAGATGTAAACATGGTTTTGTGTAAAATGCATTAAACCACATACAAGTCTGGAATGCAGCCCTATTCAAAACTGGCTGTGAAACACTTTCAGAGACATTTAAAATGCTGACTTTTTTTATTAAATAGAAACAGTTCTAACTGAAGATTTTCAGTGGAAATACATTGTCTCCTTTCAGGCTCTGTCTCTGTGGTTCCCACGTACTTGCTTCCCGTGCCCAACCCCAGAACCCTCCATCCAGCAGATTGTTGCAGACTTCCCTCCTCTCTCCCCACCGTGACAAAGCACAGAACCCCAGCCCGTGCTGCCTTCTTCCCTTATCACTTGTGCCAACAAGAAAACAACACAGTACCTGAAATTTAAGTGGAGGAGGCAAATATATAGTTGAGAGTAGTTTGGTCAGTGTTACAAAGTCTAAGGGTGAGCTTTATTTGTTAGGGAAAAAAATGAAGTTGTTTAGGCAGAATGTGCTTTTTCTCTGGCATCTGGTTGGTGTAGCTCCTGCTAAGATTAAGTTTTGTAAAAGCTGTAGTTTTATCAGTGGATTTCAAAACCTCAGTAGCTTGCAGTGACCTCTTCTTTTTCTGCTGCTGCAGAGTATTTGTCTTGCTTAAGGGAGTCATGCATATATAAATTCTTCAAGTGTGTGCAAGCCTCTTCAAAGTCTGCAGGGAGCTGGCACCCGCTGGAAAACTGGTGGCTGAGGCTTATTGACAGTTCATTTGGGTTTCTTTTTAAGGTGAAGCTTGAGAACATTTTTGTGTACTTTTTCTGGGGCTGTTGGAGATGCTGCAGAGTACCCTGTCTGTCTGAGGGGCTCCATTTAGGGAACAGATGGAAGCCTCCCCTCTGTCTTTTCCCAAAGCAGAAAGGGGAAATTGCTCAGTGTCAGCTAAAAAGAAATAATCTGGACTGAACTGTGTGTATTTGAGGAATTCTTCAGGTCATACTCGCACAGGGGTCATGGCAGGGTGGAGTTTTCCAGCATCATCTGCTCTGGAAGTCTGGTTGCCAATACTGGTTGGTCAGGATGAGTAGATTCCATGTAGCCCCTCCTTTGCCCTCTGACCCAGCACTTCCAGGTGTCGGATCAAACCATCTTCCTCATTACTTTGCTCCTGAGAGAGGGTGTTGCCCTCCGTAGAAATTCCTGCGGTCATTTGGCTCTCCTCGTAGGAAGGTTTCCTCACAGTGCAGTTAGAATCTCGTTTCTCCAGGGAATGGGGTCAAAGTGGTGCTGTCAGGTTCGTGCTGCAGGATTCTCTTTTCCCACCATTTTTCACAGAGCACCTGTTGAGGCTCACCAGTGTGTGATCTGCTCTTTACCTTGGCTGCTTCTCCGCTTTCTTGGCACCCCCTTGCCCCCCTGAATGGGTCTGAAGTCTGTTTCTAGTCTCACAGATTCTTCAAGGGCATCTTCTTGGTGGTTCCTGAGATCAGTCTGATCCAGAAAACCAGGTGGGAAAGTCTGTACGAGTGTAGTGGAGCTGAGTGAAGATGTTTTCCAGCCTTAGCTTAGTAACACCGGTTACCAGACTGCTCCCAGCCCTCGTTCCAGGCTCTTTTCCATGGAGCATATTGTCTGTTAATCAGTCGTGTTAAAACTGTATTTGGCAGCTCTGTCTCAGCCATTTCCAAGCTGCAGATGATGGAATGACTTAGAAGCTTCAGCCAGGCATGTTTACATGGCTACTTTTTTATCGTGGACATAAAGCATGAGCTGTACCCAAGGCTTCTGCCAAGCTGGGTGTCCATTTGAACCGGTAAACATTGTTAGCAGTGTGTTCCCAACTACCACTGCTGTCTAGCCAAGATTAGATTATTATGTGCTCTTAAACTGCCTACAAGGCCACTTTCCTGCTTTCCAAAGCAGTTTTACTTGACCAGCAGTTTCTCACAGCAAGTCTTTAGAAATAAGTGGTGATCGACAGGCTAGAAAAGTGGATTCAAGGACTTGGGCAGAATGTGTCTGCTCCTCCCTTTGGAATTAAAATGCAATTTTACATGATTAAATTGATTGCTATTGGTTCTTCAAGTATGGCATCTTGAGAATCAGTTAGCTATACAACTTGAGGCTTGTTATATTCAAATATAACCATTAGGTATTACTTTTACCACTGTCTTTACATTTAATTAATTACTACTTGATGACCCAGAATAGAATATGTGAAGCACATAGCTCATTTCCTTGATTCTCAAGTATCCACACAGACTTGATGGAAGGGTTTATCCAAATAGATGTTTTCCTGGTAAACACACTCAGTGGTAGAGGAGGTTATTCAGGCAGTGGAGTGTATTGTGTTGGATGAAGCTCAAAAATATGAGAGAAGAGGGAAGTGCAGCATCCAGGAATACAACTGTGAGGCTTCTGACTCGTGTGTGTGAAGAGCACACACAGAGTGAATCTGTACAGTCAGTAGTGCTCATTAACTTGGTCCTGAGAAGTAGGGGCTCTTCCCTTCTACAGCTCTGAAGTTGTCCCTCCAATGATCGCGTTTTTAATGTTGGTTATTTCCTTGTCATTCTTTCCAGCCAATTAGCAATGCCGATTTCATCGTTCCTGTCGAAATCGATGGAACCATACATCAGGTAAGTGCTGTTGCTCCTTCAGCTTCATGTCCTGAGTGTCCCAGAGTGTTCTCTTCCTCCATTTGCTGCTTTGCTTTCAGTAACTTCTGTAAAACACGGAAACTGTGTATTCTGGGATGTACCATGCAGAAAGGCATCCCTGTTTGATCAGGCAGAATCTCTCTCTCAAGGCTTCAATCCTGGATTCTTTGTCAATTTTAAAACATTTTCAAACAGCAGGTGGTCTAAGAAGGGGGTTTCAAACATGAGTAGACCCAGAAAAAGCTACTTGAATACTGCATTTCCCTTTCATTCCAAGACAAACAGGACGTAAGTTGCCTTGTTAATGTCTGTTGGTAGCTCATATGGACCAAACTTTACAAAGGTATTAAGGAAGAACAGGCATTCCTCAGGTTTTAGTGGCAGTCTGTGTTTAATTTCTGTCCCCTTTTATTCCTGTAAGTAATAAAAGTTCCTCTGATAGGAGTTTTTTTAATGTACTTCAGCATATTTTAAAAGGTCTGGACAAAATTGCAAGGAGACTTAATTTTTATGTCTTACTCTTTAAGAACTTCACTTATGGCTCTGAGAAATGGCTTTCAGTAAATGCAAAACACCCACAATTTGAAAATCAATCCCCTTCATGTATTTTAGCTTGATCTTTAATCAGTAGTCATTTCTGAAACCCCTGAATGAAAGAAATTACCGTGCCATAAATTTTCCTCTTCAGGCAGGCGTCGAAGTTCTTGCTGGAGATGAGTTAAACAGGTTAATTTGAAGTTGAGCCTTTCTGTTACAAGAACCTTGCAAATTGTTTGAAGCATTTTCTGTGCTGGGTGTTGTAGGTTACAGATAATGCAGTCATTGAGTTGCAAATCTTCCCTGGATGTGATTTAATGGAGATTTTTAAGTACTTTAATTGTTGAAATGCTGGAGGGGTTTATATGGATTGTTTTTACTTGAGCAGAGAGTTTTGTATTTCAATCTTGGACTAATTGATAGATCATAAAGTTCATAGTTTCGTTTCAGTTCCTGTTATGAAAACCATTATTGTAATTGTCACTCTTAAAATAATTACTAAATATCAGTCAGTGAACTGAAATGTGCTTTAAAGTAATAGCTGCTTTGACAGTTTTTACACTGTGCCTGTTTTATGTAGAAAAACTCAATATCTGGGTTACTTACACCTGTAATGTTCACCAGAGCTGATGCTTAAAACACTAAGTGATGTTTTGGGAGATCTGTGATACTGTCAATCCTGGTTTGATGTGGGCTTTAGTTGTGTTTGGTGCTGGTAAAACAGACATTTTTCTCTCCTAAAACTTTGTAGAATGCTTTTGAAAGTGAATTTTTGAGTGGCTCAGAGTTCTCATCGCTTAGCTTGTCAAGGTGGTATATTTACATTTTGAAACAAATCTCAATAAAAGACTATCTGGGCTTTACAGTCAGGCACTTCAAAAGCCAGTTGCTTTTCCATTCCCTGCTGCAAACTCTGAGATCCTTCACCAAACACGATGCAGTTTGGCACTTGAGGTGACTGCATGTGGGGGAAAAGAGAAAACAGCAGCAAAAAAGCCCCTAAACAAAACTAAACAAACAAGAAACCCACAGCTGGCCAAAGGGAGTGGATTTGTGCATCTCCTTCTCCTTGACAGAGGAGATCAAGTGAAATGAGTCTCTAAATGTGCTTTGCTGGAGACTTCCTGCATAATTTTCAAGGAAATTGCTTAATCCCTTTGTATTTCCAGTTTTTAATCTCTTAAAACATCCAGTTGTTAATCTCTAAAATAGGTAAATACCTCAATCACATTTGGGTTGTCAAAATGAAGTTAACTGTAAGGAATTTGTGATTCTTGAAATAAAGGTAATTTTGATGGCACACAGAATAAGCCAAGTCTGTGTTTGTAACATCTCTGTAGGCAAAGTAACGTCCTGTCATTCAGGAATCTTTTTTTTTTTTTCTTTTTGCACTGTGATAAATTAAAGGGCAAAAAGGGGTATTCTGGCTGAGCCTGATGTGCATTAACACAGCCTGTGGAGCTTTGACAACCTGTTCCTGCTTCAAACCTGTAATTCTTCAGTCCCTTAGAGCATAATAAACACGAGCAATTTTTGTTACTTCTCAGAATTTGTCATCTGTGTAGTGCTTGTCCATTTTCTTAAGCAGTTCATATACTCAAAAGATTAATCATTGACCTTGGGGAAATACTTCCAGCTGTGTAAAACACCGTGGGATATGTGAAATGTTGTGGAACCATCCTGTCCACAGTGCATATCCCTACCTGCTTTACCAGTGGGCCTGGTACCTTATCAGGCACGAGATGGTCTGACAGATTATTGCTGTTCTTGAACTCTGCCTTAGACAAAACCCCAAGGAAAACTAAAACAGGGAAACAACCATTTCAGGAGTGCCCGTTCAGAGAGAAATTCAAAATAATATGAGATTGTTCGGATCTCATACACCAGAAATACAAGTTGTGGCAAATTCAGTTGCTGTGCACTTGAAATTTCGAGTTTTGAGCTTTACATATCTGACAAGTTTTTTCATGGTAAATACTGTATTTTTTTGCTGTTCAACAGAGGTATTCAAAAAAATGCTGTCTTCAGTTTGGGGAGTTTGCTTTCCCTTACATAATTTATAATCCAAAGGTCAGAGAAACTCTTTTTTTTTGTATAGGAAGGATAATTCATCATCCTAAAGGGTACTTGGGTAAACGAGCCTCCTAGATTAAAAAATAGCTTTTCTGAACACCCCTTTTCCCTCTCCCATCTTTCTTACTCTAGCTTGAATTACCATATCTTTAGGAAGGATTTGTCATTTGATTTTTAGAAGGAAATAAATCATGTGTAAAAATGCCTCCCTTTCTTTGTGTTGTGGGCCTCCAGATGCCTGCAGAGACTGTGCCCACCTGAGGGCAGCTGGAATTCCAGGAGAAGGATCCCAGGCTTTGTGCTGGGAATGGTGGCACGGACACAGCAGGGCAGTTCTGATGTGAGCTGACCCTCTCTGGCTGGCTCTCTCATTTCACTCTGGTTCTCTGGATAAAAAGAAACCAGAGCTGGTCTCCCACTCCACCAAATTATGAGGAATAAACTGCAGGAATCTCAGTGAAATGTGTTGCAACTGAGAGGAGTCTTGTTGAGGGTGAAAGTAGTGGCTGGGGAAAGATGTTCAACCTTACAGTGCCTTTGTGCCTCGCTGTAAAAGGAGGCAGCCAGGAGGAGTTTGATTTGGTCTTACTTGGAATTTCATTCCTAATTTGTTGAGCAGAACTAGTTTTCAGTGTTTGGTTTTTTAATTCCATTAATAATTGTTTATTTTAGTTGTTGAAAGCTAAAGAAGCATTTTGCCTTTGTACTTTGAATGTAACGTACAAAATGTTGTTTAATGGTGGTGGGGGGGGGAAATGCTGTTTGAATAACAAACTTCCTTTCTGTAAAGCACAAAATCCATGGATTTCCTTACGGAGGGCTGTGGCCCTGTTCAAGTAATCCAGGATAGGCTGTATCCATTCTAACTGGCCTATTCTTGGTTACTTGCACTGGGAGACAGCCACAAACTGGGAGACCCACCACGAGGAGGCTCGAGGACGTGTGTTATTTTCTGCTCAGAAGATGCACCAGCCCACGGAACGGGAGGCCACGGGAGTTGGGGTTGTCTTGGGCGGATTTTTTGGTCATCACTTGAAGGTTTTGTTATTGTAAAGCAGGTTTTGAAAGGCAATTCTTCGTGTCCCATTCAGTTGAGCTGGGTTTCTCTTCTGGTTTCACAAGTACTGAGTCTCTCTAGGTTGAGACTGCTTTGAGGTATAGAAAATTTGTATGGAAATACAAAATGCTTGGAAACAATTAAAGATAATTACTTGGGTTCTGCCATTAGCAGCTGTAACAATCCTGTGAAAACATGCCTAGTGCCTGATTTGTGCTTAACATGTTAAGAGTAGGGTTCATTTTAAGTAATAAAAAAAAGACTGTATTCCTCCAAATTCTTGCTGTGATAAGGAAGAAATTAGTTAACGTGCAATACACCAAAAAAATGGAGGTTTTTTTTTAAATGCCCTAAAGACAGTATATAAATCTCAGAAAAATGCCAGGAGCCAGTTAGTCTAGAGACTTCAACTGAAGCCATCAGGCAACAGAGGAAAAAGCCAAGCCACAAATAACCAGGCAGCATTGAGATTCAAGTCCAGCCACTAACAAAGTAAAGGGGGAAAAAATTCCAAATGAGGAGGAAGAGGAGAAAAGAGCTGCACTGTCAGCTGAAGAAAGCTTTTTATGTGAAGTAAACCAAAGAGATTTTGTAGCCCAGGATACCAGTACACTTGGAGTTGCTTCCAGGGGCTAAGTAGGACTTCCCAAAGAAAACTTGAAGGAGAATAACTATCCAAAGTATTAAGATATGTTGTTCTGCCAAAGAAAAGAAAATCAGTGTTGTTAAAAAAAAAAAGGGGGGGGGGAGTGAAGGAATTAAAGCCTTTTACAGAGGGAAATAATTAAACAGAAAGTTTATTGAGACTTCATCCTAAGAGATGACATTTATTATTGATGAGGCATTTAACATGAGAAGCAAATCTGTTGGCCAGATCCCAGCAGGGAAGATTTAAGGCAAAACAGCAAGAAACTCAACTAGTGGAGGTCGTGGGTGCCCTGTGGTGGAGCAGGAGATCTAAACTGCAGTTGGGGGACAACACAATTAAAATGCTGTGTATTTACAGCTAAACACTGAGGAGGTGCAGCGTTAGGAGACCTGCAGATAGCCAGAAGAGCACTTTCTGCAAGGACTTGCCTGCAAATACAGCACAAGCCTGTGGTTTGGGAGCTCTTGGGCTGCAGCTCCAGGGTTGATTTACTGTGTGCTCTCCTTATGGAGGAGGTGGGTTATGTTGCAAGCAGCAAAGTTCATATCCTTGGCAGGGAGTTTGTAATTACATTCCAAGTGGAAATAGTTTGCCAGCACGGGCATAGATAGGGATGGAGAGCAAAGAGGAGACTTCTTCTGCTGTGGCTGAAAACACTGGGCTTTAGAAGGGAAATTCATGTTAAATTCCAGCACTAACTATCTAGTTAAGACTCTGGGGTGCCTCTCTTGTGCCCTCAAAAATATAATTTAAGGCTAAGGAATTAAAACCTTCATTATTATGGAGTAACTTGGACCCTGCTATCTTTCCTCTTGCAGCTGGGGAGCTGAATAGTTCTGGGTACCCAAAAGCAGGGGGCCTGCAGCTATCTTTTTATCTGTGTCTTTAAAAAAGTTCAAAGATAGAATTTAGAGAGGAAATACTAGAGAACAACTTCATGTAGTAAGAATTAATGAAAAATTAATTGCATTATTATAGGGGAGGAAATTACTTGGTTTATGCCTGGTGGAATACAGGAAACATTGCTGTAATTATCTGGAGAGAGTGGTGTTGAAGTGCATCTGTTAACTGTCTTTAATTCATAAAATGTCACATTTATTTGATGGGTGAGGTGCTGCTGTGGTTGTTTAAAATATATATATATATATATGGATTATAAATTGTTATCTGTATCCAAGTTTGAATGAAATATTTATGAGGCCAGAAATAGTTTAGAGAAGGTCAGGGCTTCATGGTATGATATGTATGCTACATAAAGTGGAAGAGTAATTAACATTCTGCTTTAGTCATTAAGGTGCAGCTCCATCGTGTATGTTGTTAATAGAACTTTGCTTTCAGATTGAGGTTTTCAGTTTCCAATTACACACTTTTTTTTCCTTTTGCTGAAGGCTTTAATTGTTACACTCCAGTTCAAGCTGCCATTTCTGTATTTTTTTGTCCTTCAGGCCTTTTCTCTGGGTACCCCTATTTTTTTACCTCTTATTAACATGAAGCTAGTAAAACACATAAAGTTAATCGAGTTTTACATATCAGAGAAGGAAATTCCTGAAATTTCAGTCAGTTCTGCGCCAGACTTCTCCACTTGAAATTTCCAGTATTGAGGATTATTTGCCAAACAAAGGAGATAAGATGCTGCCAGTGTTTTCTCTCAAACTTCTAATCTAACTGCAAACAAGATAGATAAATATTTTTTAAGCAGACTCCCCTCTTCAGCTTCCCAGTGTGTTGTGAGCTACTTCCAGGCTTTCTGAGCAGCAGTTATCTTATCTTGGTATTTTCTGTGAATGCAAAATCATCTTGCTTGCTCTGAAAGGAGAGGCAGGGAGGCCCTAATATCTGTTAATCGGGTTGTTGACAGTAGGCAGCCAGGCTGCCTGTGTGGATGTCAGTGCAAAAAGGCAGCACAGCATTGCTGAGAGCAGGATGCTCAGGAGGAGAGAGATCTTGAGTATTTGCCATCTTCAGGGCAAGCTCCTCGTGGAAGATGCTGCAGACTTTGTTTTGAAAACAGCATTTTTAGGCATTCTGCGTGGTGCTGGGAAGGGTTTTGGGTGAACAAAGCTCCCTGCAGAGCTGGATGACTGATAACACTCCATAGTGAGATATGGTACTTAGCACCTGGAATTTAAAAGATGAAAGATTTAGCCACAGAGAGAGAACAGCTCCCTGTTGTGCAATTCCTGTCATCACAGAGTCTTCATCAAATTTATTCCCTCTGTAAAGCTCTTCAGCACCGAAGGCACCAGCACCAAAATGGGTTTGGTTGAGAGATGCGAATCCTCGTTCCTCGAGAAGCCCTCCTGTCTCTCTTTGCCTTTAATGAGGTTTTTCCAGAAGCATCACTCCAGATGATGCACAGTGCTTGCAATGGCATAATCAGCATGGGGCTTGGCAGCCTGTGCGTGCCAATCTCTCATTATTGGATCTCTACTTCTATCTTGTGCACTTCTTTTTTTGTTTCCAGCATCTCGTTTGAAACCGCTTCCCTGTTAACTTTTGTTTGTTCAAGTATTAGGATTGCAGGAGTGGTTTGGTTTGGATTTGTTTTGTTTTTAGTTTTCCTTGAGCACCATCTGACCTAAATGTCATTATCATTCCAGGTTTATGTTTTGAAACGACCACATGTGGATGAGTTTCTTCAGAGGATGGGAGAGCTCTTTGAATGTGTACTCTTCACAGCCAGTCTAGCCAAGGTTTGTTCCTCTCCTCCTCTCATTAACCTTTTCAGTGCTGGTCAGTGGACTTTTTGGTTGGGTTTTCTATGGATAATTACTTCCACAGTTGGTACTATCTTAATTTTTCCCCTTCTTTTCTGCTTCTTTGTCTGACAGTGTGTACTTTGTCTGCTAGTGTGTGGGTAAGTTGTTTCCATGGTAACACCATCACATATGGGCTCGTCTCATAATGTAGCCTCCATGCATTGCTCACGATGCCAATATGAAAGGCTCACAAGTTACCATGGTTATAGTGAGAAATTAGAACAAATAGCGTGCGAGTAAAAAGCGGCACTTTAAAGCTGGGCATGAAATAAAACCCACCGAATTAAACGCCATCCACACGGTCGACCGGTGACTCAGAAATTTCCTGAAAATTGGGAACACAGTTTGTTGTTGTTTGGTTTTTTTTTTTTTGGTTCTGTCAAGGTGCAATTGCAAATCTGGAGATGGAAAACGAGACGTTTTTTGCAAAGCCTGAAACGTCAGCAGGAGTATTTTGTGCCCTCTGGTCTGCAGTAGCAGTAGTAGTTCGTAGGTAGTTTTGTGGTAGATGTTACAGTAGTGGACTGCTCTTAAATTCCTCACTTTCAGTGTATTGTATTTGTGGTGTCTTGTTTGTAAAGTTATATTGGTTATTTCTCAATAATGCTCTAGCATGGCAAGCTTTTAGTCCAACCTAGTGATGGTAGAACGGGACAGGACACTGATCTATAATGCCTTCCTGCCAGAGGATTCTTCCCTGAATTCTCTTTACCATGTTCTGTTCAGTTGTGTTGTAATAATCCTAAATACTGCAACAATTTCATACTGAAGTTAGGTGTCTGTTAATTTTTCATAGTCAGAAGATGATTGATTTCAACATCAATTTTGTTTCTCACTTTAAATGCAGAAAAAAAAATACAGCAAAATGGTAACTCCTACCCTGCAATAATAAGTTATAACTGCCTCTTTCAAGTATGTGGTTATTCATGTTTGGGTTTATTTGGATGCTTTTCCTTGGTCAGTTTACATCAATTGTTGGATTCTAAGCTGTGCCTCACCTAAAGTGTCATCTGATGTATAAAATAAGAATTTCCCTAGTATTGTGGTGTTTTTCTTAATAACATCTTTTGTCTGATCCTCTGTGGCCCAGTTATGCAATTTGGTAACATTTAGAGTCTTACTGACCCAGTCACTCCAAGGGCATCACTTGGAAAAGCCACATCAGGCTCAGATGTGTGTTCCTTGCAGTTTATATTTAGAGGCAAATGGAAACAAATCAGCTGTGGAAATGCTTCCTGTAGATTTTCTGTTAGCACTGACTGGTTTTACAGTAATGTTAGTTGAGATCTCTGGATCCATCAGCCCCTAGAAAACTCTTACAGTAACTGTAAGTTGGCCCTAAGAATAAAACCTAATCAGTAAATCACAGAAAACATTAGAGTGCAAGTTAGCCTTCTACAGAAAGATAATTGTCCTACTTTTGCATTATCTCTTTATTAATCACTTCAGGTTTGCAGGCGAGTAAGTTAATTAACAAGGAGCAGGGAAGAAAACGGAGAAAGGGCATTTTGCCTGAAATTATTTCGTGTCCCTCCTTTGCCTGGCTCTGTGAACCAGCCTTATCTGTATGCTGCTAACTCCATGTTTCTGGCTTCTATTTTTAAGTATGCAGACCCAGTGGCCGACTTACTGGATCGCTGGGGTGTGTTCAGGGCAAGGCTCTTTAGAGAATCCTGTGTTTTCCACCGAGGAAATTATGTGAAGGATCTGAGTCGACTGGGACGTGAGCTGAGTAAAGTTATTATAGTAGATAATTCTCCTGCATCTTACATCTTCCATCCTGAAAATGCAGTAAGTATTCGAAGTACTCGAGCGTGACTTTATCTTTCTGTTCCTTGCCCAGACTTTCTGATTTCAGAAAATAACCTCTCAGAGCCCTGGCTTGTATTAGTGTCTGTATTTTCTTAGGCTGCAGGTAGTAGGTTCTGGGATTCACTGCCAAGTGGTGAAGGACGTGGGCAAACTGATCTTGACAGCGTGTCATAGCCGTGAATGCTCATGGGCTTTCAGCTTCAGCTTGTGGCATGAAGTCCAACAGTTTTGAGAAATACCAGGTGGTGTGGAACCTGAGTAACTAACTTAGCTCTGAAAAACAAAACTGCCCTGCAGCACAGCTTTTGTTCTTTGCAGTGGTGATCACAGATAGGATGGTTTGCCTGAACAACTTCTTGTACTCCTCTTTTTATGCATTGTGGGAATGAAAATACTTCATTAGACAAGAGAATGAACGCTTTACTGGTTGCTGTCTGAAATCTGTGTTTGTGGGTAAGGGAAAGGAAAAAAAAAATCAAGATCCTGTTGTGTTTTGCTTCTCCTTCAAGTGTTTTCGTGATAACTCCCTTCATAATTAGAAATGTTAGCCAACAAGTTCATCAAGTTTTTAGGAACAAGGATAAAAGACAGGCAGCAGTAGTAGTTCAGGGGGGAGTAATTAGGAGCAATGTGCATTTTCACTGTGTTTGGTGACTCCAGAAGCTCTGATGGAATGGCCTGACACTTGCTCCCTGCATTGCTGCAGTCAGTACAGATGCTCACAGCTGCTTTTTAGCTGCCAGGATAGAAGCTGGAAATCCCTTACATCTACTGACTTTTAAACAACCAGGCTGTGCAGTGCTTTCTTTGATGTTTTTAGGCTGTCTTCTTTGTGAACTGTTAAAATTAGCGTAGGAAATTTTTTATCAAGGGCACTTGTTTTCCATGGTCCTGCCTCTCTGGAATATCTTTTCCTTTTTTTTTTTTAACATGAGCTGTTTATCTTGCAGCAGGCAGCTTTTAAGTTCAGATCCTGAAACTGTGATGCCTCAAGTGATGTGGTGAAAACATTTTTCTAGCTGGTGCCACACGTGGTTTGAAGTTGCCATTTATAATAACCAGGAGCTGAAGCTCTAAATTTATGTTCATGGTTAAAATTAAAAACCTGATCCAGATCGTCGTTTGGTATCTCAGAAATCAGTGCCAAGAAAATAATGAGCTGTAGAAATTTGGGAGATGAAGTGAAGGGCCTTGTCAGAGTGGTTTAATCATGTATAGAAAAGTGCTGCTAGCAAACTGATATTCGAGTCTCTGCAGAAACCAGAGCTTGTAACGAGATCCAAGATAGTCTTTCAAAGACCTCAGTGTACTTCCATAGTGAAGATACACAGAACTCCTTCCCCACAGCCAGCCCACATATTTAAGAAGGGTTTTACTTGCATTATTTTCTGAACCTGTTCTCGAGGTCTAATATTTTAATCTGAGCTCTGTTCTGTACTCGCTGTTAAATATTTCCTCCAAACCTCATGCCAGAAAGGGTTGTTGCTGCATTCCTGTGTCTGGTGACTCACACTGATAATTCTTAGAGGGGAAAAAAAAAAAAAAGGATTTGCCTGTAAATAAATTGTCAGTGCAGCTCTATAACCTGTGTCTTCCTTCCAGTCTGTTCTGGAATGTTAAGGAGGGGCAGAGCAAGTCGAGCTGCCCAGTGTGGGGTCACGTAGGTGACCTGGACGTGCAGGTGAAGGTCACCTGTCCTGCAGTTGGCTTTGGGGTTGATGTTGGGCACAAGAAAACATGGGCTTGAACCTGGTGCTCCACCTGAATGGTAATGATTAGCAATTTGCCTTATTGTGATGATGATGATGATGATGATGATGATGATGATGATGATGATTGTTACAGGACACCCACACAGGCAAAACTCACGTGCCCCCTTCACATGATGAAACCCTCTCAGTGTTTGTTGGTTGCTTTGTTTCAGGTGCCTGTGCAGTCCTGGTTTGATGACATGACAGACACAGAGCTGCTAGATCTTATTCCTTTCTTTGAAGGACTAAGCAAAGAGGAAGAAGTTTACAGTATGCTTCATAAACTCTGCAACAGGTAGCCCTTAACTTTGACTGACTTCTGCTACTAGATTGCAGTTGCTAGAGGCTGTCTCCATCTTTTTCAGCTCTTTCAAATGTAAGCTTTGGGGAGGTCACCCCTGTCAGAAGTGCTACTCTTGATCTTCCTGTTACATTGGACACGAAGGACAATCATGAGTGATGCTCTTAAGCCTTCAGAAGCCTGACTCCTAAGGTCATGTGTTCAGACTACTTTTTTAAAGGAAAAAAAAAAAAAAAAAGAAGCTATTTTAAATGGGACTCTTTTAATTAATTTCATAAATGGACATCTTTTACTGGATCAGCTTTTCTTAAAACATGCCAAAAAAAAAAAAAAGAAGCTTGTATTTCAGCAGTTGAATTTCTCTCCCTTTCTTCCCCTCCCACTATGCAGACAATTTTACCCCCCTGCTTAGAGCAGTTGACCTGACTCTGAATTTTTTCTTACAGAATGAAGTGCCTTTTTGAATGTTATTTTAAAGATAAAAAAATTCATTTTTGTATAAGACGTATTTCCAGACATCTTTTAGTCTTGTATTGTCTAAATGCTTTAAAAAGGAAAAAGGAAAAAAATTTTATAGAGCACTGTAATATATAACAGAGGAAAAAAGTTGAAACCAGGATGCTGGGTTCCTGTCTCCACGACGACATTTAAGTTGCATTACATTTTGTCACGCTCGGAAGGTTCAGGCGTTTCGTGGGAGGGGTGAGTTGGGTTCATTACCTGGTTGTTTCGCTGATGATGATTTTGGGCGCGGTTTGGAACATATCTGCAGTTGTTTGAGCGTTAGGGAATGGTGGAATTGAGGAAACAAGGTGGCTGATAGACCTAAAGCACCTTCTCTTGTAGACAGATGAAGTTCTGTTGTCTCCGCTTACGCACAACTGCCATTGCCTCTCGATTTTTGGAAAACCATTACCTTGGGAGAGCGAGGAGGAGGAGCTCTATTTATTAGTTTAAGGTTCTTTTCTCTAAAAAAAAAAACCCGTCTGGGTAAGCTGGATCTGTGTTGAGCTGTTTGGAGTTCTTTTTTTTTTCTTTTAATTGCTGCTACTGTATACTCACCAAATGGAGTTTGACCATCGGCTGTTATACTGTTTTTGCCACTGTGCCTGTGCTATGGAACATTTTCTGTAAGCTGCAAACTTGGGCAATAAATAAAATGCAGGCTTCATAACCCACCCCCATGGATTAATCCAATGGTATCTGAAATACCAGAGAGCTCAGTTAAAGGTGACCTGTAAAGGATATATTTTTTTAATTTTTTTTTTTTTTTTCAATTGGGATGAAACCTTCTCCTCTCTTTGGTATATAAAAATGCAAAAAAAGCATTTTGCTCACATCTCTGATTTGTATTTCTTTTTCTCCCAGGCTGTAAGGTACAGACTGGGAGGTGTATCAAGCTTTGCTAGAAGGGCACAAGTTACTAGCCTAGACTAAAATCTCTCCTCTGGCTCTGGAGTTGAGTTAGATTGATCTCTTGAGTCTGAGAACCTGCTCAGCATCTTCTGCAGTGTCAGAGGTGCTTTTTCAATTGAATAACTTTTAAATATTTTAAGCCTTTGAAGAAAAAGGCACACCTTTTCTTTTTTACTTTTTCTCCCCCTTTCCAGTGTCACCTTTTAATTATCCTCCACCCCAGAAATCTGCCAACATAAAAAGTGCAGCTGCGTTTGGCTGTCATCAGAGAAGACTAAATGGACTATTTGGTGCTTCTAATTAGCCTCGTGCTAAATTCTGAATTGTAGATCCCCCTTTGCCTTTTCTATTTCTCTCGAAAAGTCTTGAAGACTTGGGGGGGGAAAAAAAAGAAAAAAAAAAAAGACAAAACCAACTTTTTTTGGCGATGGACTCGGCTCGTGATCCTCGTCTAAAACCATTGGTGAAGCAGCTTAACAACGTTCCCAGAAGGGCAGGCAGTGAGTAGGTTGTAGGTACAGTGTAAAAGTGAGCAGCTGTGCTCCAGCTGGGGCTGCTCCCAGGGGTGTTTGGAGGCAGTCCCATCACACTCTGTGTGAGTCTGTACGGCATCACCGTTTTGTTTCTTAACCAGCTGGCATTACCTTAGTACTGTACAATTCTGTGCCACAACAAAAGACGAAACTGTCAAACCTAAAATCTGAAAAACAAACAAAAAACCCAACAAAAAAAGCCTACTTTGTTTAAAAAAAAAAAAAAAAAGGAAAAGACAAAAAAAAAAAAGAAAAAGAGAGACGTATGGATTCTGGTTAGTCCATTAACGTTCACTTTTCGGTTTAAGATTGTTTAATTTTTGTATTTGACTATCAGAGTAACGAAAACCGTAAGCTGCCAAAAAAAAAAAAAAAAAAAAAAAGAAGTTGTTCTCTGAGCAGTATTTTCAACTGCGTTTTGTGGCTGCTTCTTGGGCTTCAAATGCAGTTTTGCAGGGAAGTATTCAGGTTGTAGTTAGTCGTGCAGGTATGAGAGGAATGGCTGAAAAAAAAAAACAAAACACAAAACTCAAAGACTTTTCTCGCAAGCGTTAGACCAAACAGACAATAAATAACCCACTGTGGTGACCTGTTGTACGTGAGACAAACCATGGCATCCGTTTGCATCTCTGAAAGCAGCGATTTCATGAACCAGTTGCCTTAAGACTGTGAATGAATGTTGACTATTAAAAAAAGTGTCTTGTATTGTTCCAAAAATCCACATAGAAGGGGCAACTGAACTTCTGCACCAGCTTCTGGAGGAAGGGTTCTGATGGTGTTCTGTACAGCCGTACTTAAACTGTATTATTTTGGCTCTTAAAACCCACAAATTTAAAAAATTTAAAAAAAAAAAACAAAAACAAAACCAACTTATTAAAATAAGTTAGTTTTAGTACAGCATTAAAATAACATTTTGTGACAAAGGCAAAAAACTTAGCCACAGCTTTGATCTCTTAGTATTAAGAGTATTTTCTGTAAGATTTCAGTAATTTTTTTTATTTTTATTTTTTAACCCACTTGGAGTGCTCTGCAATCAAGTTTGGACTCCCCTGTGTTATTCAGATTTGGCCAGAGGGATCAGACTGTCCTAGTTGGTTATTTTGACACTTATCATCGTACTTGAAATTTCAAGTGTGGAGTTTGCGTGGATACACATACGCTCTATATTTAGTTTCTAGATTGTAACAAAGCAATATAGTTCTGTCCATAAAGTCAGATAATGGAATGTCTGTAAAATTTGCAATACGGGTATTTGATTGTATTTTAAATACAAGAGTTTAAAAACTAAAAATAGGAAAGAAAAAAAAAAAATACTTGTTTCCTAAATCTCTTTTGCATATTTTTTGAAGTGCAGTTAGTGCATGCAGGTCACCAGGGCTGTTGTAAACCCTGGGTTTCAATTTTATTCCTGGATATTATAGAAGTTAACTAAAAAGTCTTTTTCCAGTTGGCCATCCTGTTCAGCTAAAGAGATGCTGCCTGGCCTGAAGTTCTGTTGTCCTTTTTATGTCGGGTTAAAAACGGTTCTTTTGCCTGTATAGGTATTTTTTGAATTAAGCTGTAAGGCAGGATTGCCTTAGATCCTATAAATTCAGCTGAGGTGTTAACGATTAAATTGCCATTTGTAAACCAGGGCTGTGCGCAGAGTCCTTGTTAACAACCACCAGGAAGCGCGGCAGGCTCGGAATGGGAGGTGGTAGCAAAATGTACAATATTGCTGTGTTCATTTAGGTGGCTTTGGAAGAGTAATTTGTCTCTTTGTTTTGCCCTTTGGACCTTTATTAAACAGCGAAGTTCTACGTGGAAGAAGCTCAACACCTGGAGACGTTTTGGTTGTCGGTGTTCGCAAATCACTTTCTTACAGCATGATTTTGATTAGACTGGTTGGGGACAATAAAGTATCTAAATGACACCGGTGTGTGCTGATGTTGCAGCTTTTGAAATTTCAGTGTATCCAAAAAGAGAAAAAAAAAAAAAAAATATATAGTAGGTATTACAAGTTCTGGAGACGTAAATCCTCTGTTTTACAGGTTGTTTTTAACCTAATAAACCACAGTACCGCACAGCCCTATTTGTAAAACAGAAACAAGTTTGTGCCTCTGATTTCCAAGGTGCTGTGATGTTTTGCCTTTGTGGGGCGAGGAGGGGGCAGGTGAGACTGGCGTGGGGCAATTGCTTCAGAATCTCTGGGTAACTATGCAAAACCAGCTGTCAGTTTTCTGTTTCACATGGAATTGTAAAATCCCAGCTGACTCTCTTTTATTTCCTTGTTAAAGGTCTACTGGGAACTCCTTAACAGAGGAGTAAGCAATGGAAATGTTTCTTTCTTTCTTTTTTCCTTCTTTTTTTTTTTTTCCTTATGATGGAGCTGTTTACACTTTGATGCAATGAACAATCCAGCAATACTTGAGAAACACTACAGATACCATATGAGTGTTTGCAGGAGAGAGAAGTGTTGTCAATCAGGTATTGAATGGTTTCTTTACTGTCACAAATAAAAAATTTTAACAATATAGTTACTTGTGCATGTAATACTTCTCTGGGAAAAAGAAATATTCTGCACTTCTTCAGTAAAAGGCACTACCCTAATTTGTCAGGGACTTTATTCCTGCTGATGCACATCCGTGTTAAATCATAAAATCATCCATCTCTGTCCAATCCTCTTCCCCCTCTCCTCTTTTTAAGTCGTGTGCAGGACTCCTCAGTGCCTGCCCTGGCACCTGCTTGTGCAAACAGAGCTGATGAACTACTGATGAACTCTGCTAAATAAATTGGTGGCGACTCTTACAGATGTTCCAGCTATTTAGATCTCTCGGATGAGATCATACAATAATTTGTTCAAGTCTCAAAGCTGTGTGACTTCTTTTGAAGGGCTTACTTCAGCTACTTGAATAGCTGTTCTTAACATCACTGCCATATCCACATGAATATCTGAATAAAACACTTTATTTGGTTGGAAAATCTATTTTGGGACTTTTTATCTGACACAATAAGACTTAGGCAGAGCCTTCCTTTCTAGGAAAAGGCACATATTATTGATGCTTTATGAGCAGAAAACCTCAGGCCTGTTGGAATAAGCAGCTGGCTCAAGATAGCACACTAGTTTTTCAATTAAAATTATTTTTTAGTTAGTCCTGTGATCAGTTGGAATGACTAGACTGCCTTTACTTTGTACTGGTGAGTCAGGGGGTTGATTTTTAAAAATTTTATTTTAGGTTTGTTTTAGGGGGGAGGGGGTTATTTTGGGGATTGTTTTTTAGTTGTACCAGTCTCCTTAGCTGCTACTTAGGATAAAGATGCCTTTCTTTTTTTTCCACTCAGTAAAACAAGTGTCTCAAAATTCATAAAACAGCTCATTTATAGCGGTGAGAAAGATCCTTGTTGTCCTGTCCTGGCTGATTAAAACCGAGCACACCATGGCCTACATACTTAAACACTAAAAACCCTCCCATGTTTTTCCCCCCATTTCATTGTGTTTTTGACTCAGAAGGAGAGCCAACCACTCTGAAATCCCCTGCAGGGTTGGGGGAAGGGCCTCTTCCAGGTGGGCTGCGCTCCAGGGGATCCTGCAGTCTCCAGCAGTTTTCCTGGCAAGCGACCCTCGCCATCCAGACTCCCCCTCAGCCCAGCTACGCTGGCAGGAGACCAGGCAGAGCTCCCTTGGACTGCTCTGGTTCTGCTGCAGCTACTGGTGAATAAATGATCTGTAGGTAATGCATTGGTTTGGACAGGTTGGCAGGCTCAGACTTGGGAAGCTTCCCAGGAGGGTGGTGTTGGGAAGGGGCTGTGCTGAGGAGCGGGGTTGTCCGTAATTGCCTGACCCCACTTCACTAGGCATCTCTGAAGCATAGGACACGCACAGATGGGTTTGACTCTGCAGGGCAGGTCTCTGCACCTGCAGTTACACACCTTCCCAGATTCAAAAGCAGTTAAAAGGGTTAGACTTGGTCATTGCTTGGATCAGCAGCAAACTGGATTTGGGAGGCCCTGTGTCCGTGTCCTCGGTGGACCCGTCGTAGCTCCCACCGCTCTTGTGTGCGCACCCGACAGCCTTTAATTTTGCAACAGCCCTTTGATTCAGGGATGTAAACACGCTTGATCAGGATGGAAATTGCAGGAAAATGCTGGACAAAGGCAGGCAGAGCAGCTGGCACCCGCCAGCCTTGGCCATCGTCTCGGGCTGGACTCCAGCAAGGACGAGGCTGCTGCTGCTGCTTGAAGGCGGACGGAGGAGTCACCGCTCAGCCAGAAACACGTCACCCCCCCACAGAACCTCTGTTCTCCCAGATAACGAGGGTGGATCGTTTTGTCCCTACAAACTGCGATGTCACCACCTCAGAATTCCCGGCGTCTCAATAAATGTTGCACTCGGAGGCTCGGAGGAGTTGCTGGCTTGACAATGGGTTGTTTTCTTTTGTCTGATTTTAATGAGCTTTTGTGATGAAAACCAAATTTCTTTACAGTGTAACCTTGTGATTTTATTTTTTTTTTCATGCTTTGATTCAGTTTGACAATAAACTATCTGTGTTATTTTTTTCATCCTCTTCATGTCTGATAATGCGTAGTTGAGGGCTGGTAATATAGTTGAGGGCTGCTCCCAGGAATCCCCCTCTGTGCCCACATGGGGGAAACACTGGGAGGGGGAAGCAAAGACTTAAGAGAATCAGGCCAGAGAGTTCTCCTCATTCCATTCCTCTCACAACTCTCTGGACTTTCTGGGCTTTAGTAAAGATGAAAGCCCCTGACTGCTGAGAATCAAGGGCTCCTTCCTCTAGCAGCCTATTTGGCAGGTGGGTTCAGTTCCTGTTCTTTTGGGTTAACCTGCTGAGGTTTGAATAAAGCCATCTTGCTGCTCCCAAAGCCACTAAAGCCTGTGCATAAGCGGGAGCTGAGAAAGGAGCAAGATCCCGGATTCTGGGAGCGGGTAAGGAAGTGGGAGAAAACTCTTGGGGGCTGGTGGGGTTTCCTGCACAACCCCCTGTCAGTTCCTGTGTGCAGCACCCCTCTTGTGGTGCTCACAGCACCCATGAGGCAGTGGGTTGGTTCCTCACCTGCCTGTCCTGGGTTTGTAGGGATAAAGGGGCCTGAGAGTGGATCAGGAGGCACATCCCTGCCTTTCCTCCGGGCTGCAGTGGCATCTGTCTCCGTAATTTTGGCAGTGCCTGTTGGGAGTGCTGATCCATCCGTGGTGGTGGTGAGCTGGTGACCTGGCACGGGTTTTGGGTCAACCAGTCTGTGGGCAAACAATGTTCATCCCCTAAGGGATTGGGAGGACCTGGGGGAGCCATTCTGTGTTTGAGTTGGATTGGTTCAAGGTGCTTTTCATCTGGCACGTGTCTGCCAAGTTATTCTGCATTCAAGGGTCATGCTGAAGAAGCTGGGTGTAAGTAAAGCATTTGCTGGAAGACAGACTCACAGAAATACAGAAGTCTGACGTTTTCATGTGTGTTTTTAACAGGAAAATGATTTTATAAAATGCCTTTAGTATTTTTTCCTAGCCTCTACTTCGTGCTGTACCCTGAGGCTGAGAACCACAGACTCGTGCAAAATTTATCTGCGGCAGTTTTTATGCCTCTGAAATGTTCAGGCATAAAGCCTGATGTCTTGGGCCATTTTGTTCCTTCACAAGCAAATGCAATTAGAAGAAGAGAGGAAGATTTTTGTCAAGACCTGAGCCTGTTTAGTCACAGAATTACAGAATCATTTATGTTGGAAAAGACAGCTGAGTTGGGCCAGGTGCTGTGTAGGAGTAGGGCTGAGACTGAGCACATACAGGTCTTGCCCTTGGCTTTGTATCACGGGGCTGTAGCTCTGTGACCCTTAATACTCCTTTTAAAATTTTCTCTGCATAGCAGAGCCTTGATATAATTGGAATCATCTGTAACAGTGTGCCAGCCATCATCTGTAACACATCTTTGTAACTCAGGTGGAGCAGGTTCAGATGAATAATCACCCACTGGCCTGATCTCTGATCTGCCGGATAGATCTCGAAATAGCAACGGGAGGGATCAGGCAAATATTAGGAATGATGATGGCTGCGGTTGGGAAATGGTTGGCCTGTTGCACCCCGGAGAGAGGGAGGAGCAAGGCAGGAAGGGCAGGAGGTGGGGGAGGTCTGGAGGGGACTTTCTGGCTCTGCACTGTGGTGGGCCAAGCCATGGCATGGTCGGGCAGTGGGTGCACTGGGCTTTGGTGCATCCATGATCCAAGTTTCAGGAAAATGAGGAGGGTTTTAAAGGCTCGGGCCATGCAGGGCTGTGTCACGCCACGAGATGGTGCAGCTGTGCAGCGCTGGCTTTTAAAGGCACCGTAGAGGGTTTTTAAAAGGCGTTATCTCGAGTGAAAGCATCACCACAGCTTTGAATATCTGAATCCCCTGCCAGGGCTGCACTCCACGGGTCCACAGATAACATCTTCCTTCAGGCAGAAATCTTTCAGAGGCAATTTCTTCATTTGCCCAGTGAATGCTGAGTTTCCTTTGCAAAAGCAACCTGTGGCCCCACACCTGAATACAGGTAAGTATTCTTGATAATTTTAGTCTCTTGATTTTTTTTTTCTTCCACAAAAATGCAGAAATGTGATCAGCACTTGAAAAAAATAGGGAGGAAAATCAGCATTTCTCAAATAGTTGAGTTCTAAATTATGTCCTTTACATCTTCCCTAGTGTGGTAAATCTTTTTTCGCTCCAAGGGCTCTGCTGCTCACCTTTTCCTCTCTTTCTAAAGCAACATCGTTTTAAGCTGGGATTTGGCTGAAGTACATCAGGAGGACTGTGGACAAATGTTGAGTCTCCAGGAGGGGGAGGAACAGCAAGAAGAAGGCAGTGTGGTGCCAAGCTGGCAGGTGTGTAACAAGGCCAATTCCGCTCCCCTGCCGCGTGTGCTGAGCCGTGTGAGACCTGGGCCAGAGCACGGGGGTGAGGGGAGGGTCAAGCTGGACCAGAAGGGCTGCATCCACCTGGGAATGGACCACTCTTTTCAGGGCTGCTCCTCCCTGTTGGTGAGGGCATCACCTGGTTTCATGTGCCCAACATGCTCTTGTTTTTTGAAGAGAAGTGTTTTTCCAAGCTGCCAGCTCCCTTTGCAGCCCATCTCCTTGGCTTTCTGCAGGAGGCACCTGTCCTGTGAGGAAAGACTGAAGGAGGCAGGTCCCTTTTTCCTGGGAAGAAAAGGCCCAGGCAGGACCTCATCACAGCTGAGGAGTGCAGGGGCTCCCTCTTCACACAAGGGTCATGCAGAAAACAACAGGGAACAGGTACAAGTAGTACCAGAAGAGGTTTTGACTTGGCATAAGACAGAAACTCTTTTACAGGGAGAACAGTCAGTCATGGAAACAACTTCCCCAGGGATGTGGTGGAGTCCCCATCACTGCAGGATTTCAAGATGTGACTGGACAGGGTGATGGATAACCTCATCTGGGCTCCTTTCCCAGGGAAGGCTGGACCAGGTGATCTTTCCAGATCTCTTCCAACCTGGGCTGTTCTCTTTGATTCTACGATTCCCATGTACCTTTTTTCCACCTCCTGGCTCGCTGTCCCCAGGAATGGGGTGACCATCTGTCCTGGTAAAGGAGGAGGGCTCCACAGAGTCATCCAGCCTTGGACAGGCTATTTCCTTCTGCCTCAGATGTTCTCCCCTCTTTTGCCCCTTCCTTTAGAGGAATGAGCAGATCTCCCTGCGTGCTGATTGTTTTACTCCTCTGAGTGCAAAACATCTGGATGGGAGGTCCCACTAAACCCCTTGAAATCCCACTCCTTGTTAGTGCTGGGGAGCAAAAACCGCTCTTCTCACTCAGAATATTTTTACTCTGCGTGTATTGCCATTTTTATTTTACACATTTTTCCATTTGCTCAGCAAAGCAGTGTGACTGGAAGGGAAGATGGGTGCTCTCCAGTGACACAATGTGGGGCCAGGAGATGCTGATGGGTGTTTCCAGACGTGTATGGGAGAGGCAAACCCCGTCTGGCTGCACCAGGGAACGTGATGCACTGTGGGGTGAATGGCCTGTGTTTAACCTGAAGGTTAATTTATGAGGGGGAGGCTGCCTTGAAAGTTAAATCCCAGGCTGGGCCAAATTCCTGGCTTTTCTAGGTGACAGCTTTGCCTGTCACAGGCAGCTCCAGCACACAGGGCCCTGGGGGTGCTGGAGCTGAGGGGTGCTGCTGAAAGGAACACCTGCATCTCTGTTAGCAAAACACAGACATTCTCTGCTGCAAAAATCACATTATCTGCAAACACCTATTCCCCATGAGATGCAGAATGAAGGTGTAACTGGATTAATGGAACCCAGCCAATATGGAGAATTTAAATTAAAAGGAGAAAGATTCCTTGACAGGCATCTCCCAACCTTTACAGTGACACATTGTGTATCAGGGAAAAGGTCAGGCTCCAGTTAAAGACTCCAGTTAATGGCTTGATGTTAAATGTGGCTCTGATCTCTCCAAGATCCTGTTTCTCCTGGAATCCTTTCAGTTTCTTGGATGCTGTTGGGGCACAGGCACTTCTCACCTTCACTCTGATGATAAGGAAGGAAATTACCCCATCGTCACGGGGTAAAACAATTCCACAAATAGTATTTTTTCTTGTATCTTCTCTAAAGGCTGCAGCCTTGCCTCATTTGATTCCACATCACTCTGCCTTTCCTGAAAATCTCTGGGAGCTGGGAGATAAATGCTTTTTTATCTGCCTGCAGTGAGTCAGCTACAGGCAGCAAAGGGAACCAGATTTTCTGGCTGCTTCAGATTTTCTAAATTTCAACTTTACAGAAAAATCAAGCTCTTCTTTTAACTTCTTGGTAACCAGGTTGTCAGCTGTGACACTTTGTTGTGATTTTTTTTTTTTAAATAATGAATTTGATGTGCTTGCTGACAGGCTGGATCTCACAGGCACTGGGTTTGTGTGCTGTCACCCATTTTTAGGGATCTCACCACCAAAATAGGTATCGGCTCCGTCCTGGAGACAGCTACAAGTGTTGAAGCAGAGTGACTAATTAGTCATAATAGTGGGATCTTTTCCCTAATATCTTCTGTTTTGGAGCAGATACCTCCTGAGAAGGGAGCAGCAATTAGATGGTTATGAAGCTCCACAAATCAAGAGAGCAGCAGCTCATCCTCCAGCAAGCCTGGGCTGCATCACAAGAAGTGTGACCAGCAGGTCGAGGGAGGGGAATTCTCCCCCTCTGCCCCTGTCAGACCCCACCTGCAGTGCTGTGCCCACCTCTGGGACCCCAGCACAAGGAGGACGTGGAGCTGTTGGAGCGAGTCCAGAGGTGGCCACGAAGATGCTCCAAGGGATGGAGAAGCTCTGCTGTGCAGACAGGCTGGGAGAGATGGGGATGTGCAGCCTGGAGAAGAGAAGGCTCCAGGGAGACCTTAGAGCTCTCTCCAGTGCCTAAAGACAAGAGAGCAGGAGAGGGACTTTTGACGAGGGCTTGGAGTGACAGGGCAAGGGGGAATGGCTTCAAGCTGACTGAGGGCAGGGTTAGATCAGATATTAGGAAGAAATTCTTGGCTGTGAGGGTGGGGAGGCCCTGGCACAGGT